ACATCGGTAAAATAATCCATGTGACATCAGGGGTTCAACCGTAATTTTACGAAGCTACGAGATTACTTTTTGTACGCAAATAAAATAAAAATAACGACTTTATTCAACAATTCGTCTCCTCCGCGTCTCCCTAGCACCATTTTGGAGAGTATCCACTGAACGCAAACAATGTACGCTGTTCTGTGTCAGCGAAAACAACGTATCCGCGTGGCGCAGCTGACACAGAACAGCATACTGTTTACGTATGTGATACTCTCCTAAATGGAGCTAAGGAGACACGGAGGAGACAAATTGTTGAATAAAGTTGTTATTTTTTATTTTATTTGCGTACAAAAAGTAATCTCGTAGCTTCGTAAAATTACAGTTGAACCCCTGATGTCACATGGATTATTTTACCGATCTCCTTGCTACGTTTCTGGACCTTGATCGTGGTAATTACAGTGCTGTCTATGGGAGGGTCAGAGAGCTGTCAGAATTCATCAAAAATATCTTAATTTGTGTTCCGAAGATGAACTGAGGTATTACGGGTTTGGAATGACATGAGGGTGAGTAATTCATGACAGAATTTTCATTTTTGGGTGAACTAAACCTTTAATATTAATTACTATAATAATAATCACAATATAGCCATTTTTTTATCTTTGTTATTAAAAATAAGAACAGGTTCAAAAATAAACAACAACAATAGAACAAATATAATAAAGAAACAGTGCATTTATTTTTTCATTTTACATCTAAACAAAAAAATTCAAGTAAGAAAAAAGAATAATAAAATGTAAAAATCACTTCAGTGTGTTCATTACAAATAAATTGATTATTAAACCTACAAAAGCAGTTCAATCAAGAGCAGCGATCTTTTCTTTTATTGTTTGATTAACATTATTGAGACAGACGGCATATAGTCCTACTGTACTGCACGGATCTAATATAATGTTACACATCAGAAGTTTTTCCCCAACAGTTCCTCAAACATTCACTTAAGTCATAACTGATTGTTTGGGTGAATAGCCTACTTAAAATACTGTAATTCTGTGTATACAGTATGTGTATGTATGGAAGTGCCTTATGTGTGCGATTCATACAGTATATCAGTCAGCGGTAGCGCGAGAAGTGAGCAGAGAAAAGGTACTCCTCTCAGAAAACGTACAAATAAAGATTATTTTAGATGTTTAATTACTATTTGGAGCATTGGGATTGCTAGACATATTATATTAGGCTTAAGGAAATCTGAAATTCGACCAAAATCAATATTTTTCACATTTCTTGTCTGTAGCTCAAAATTAGCCCGTGCGCATTGCGACTCATTTTGCCAGCACGGGTCACATATGGGTGTGTGTGTGTGTTTACAAATATCTCACCCCACTCAGGGTTCTTTGGTTTCTGCAGGAGTCGAGGTCCGAGCAGGCTGATGAGGAGTGCTCCAATAGGAGCGGTGATGAGGATGGACAGCACAGCCACAGTGAGGACATCCATGCCGTACCTCTGCAGCTCAAGGTCATTCTTAGAGCGCGCCATGTCCAGAGCTGTAGAGCCAATGGCAGCCTGAAAACAATCACACAGCATTCATAGGGATCTCATGTGCATTTCATTTATTGTCATTTAGCTCACACTTGCCTAAAAAACCTAGAAGGACTGAGTAAAAGATAAACAGTAAAACAGAGGGTCTATTTGTTAGACTTGGCAAGTATACCTGTACTGTGGCTTTAGGAATCCAGGCTAGAGCGATGAAGACTTTCTCTTTCAAGTTAAAGCCGGCTCGCAGTACCACAACAAAAGTGACAATCAGGCGTACCATGAGTGCGATGAACAGGGCTGCTATACCCAGAACTGAGGACACATTACATTACAGTTGATAAACTGTATGTTTTAAATGCTATACACGTGAAAAAGTGCACACTGCTGACATCCCAATCACCAAGTTTTTTCCAGCTCTTTTTCTAAAACCAGTTTTGTAGAATTTACAGTGTAACAACTTGAGAGTGTAACACTCACACACAGTCGTGACCTCCAAAGAAGTAATGATAACCTCAGCACCGATGAGACCAAAGAGAAGAGGCTGGAACACATGCCAAAACTTCTCCACCACCGCTTCCACTGGAGCCTAAACACACATACACACTGAAATGAAACGTGTGATCTGAGAAAATGGGGAGAAAATCTATTAGTGCTGACACAGAGAAAAAGAATGCATGTACTTCAAATAATTTTGATATGCTCTCTTCAAAATCATACATTGTCAGTACAATGCAAGTCTTTTCAAAATCATACATTGATTTAAAAATGTAAGTCTAATATGTGAAGAGTGCAGATGCAAAAGCCTCTAAGTGCCATTTGAAATTGTCATTTAAAATGAGCATTTTTCTCAGGTTCCTATGTGAAGTTTCAGTCATTTTACTTTAATGGCAATGAATGGGTTTTTTTCATTGCCATTAGAGTGAAATAACTGAACGTAAACATAGGAACCTGAGAAAAATGCTCGTTTTAGAATACAATTTTAAATGGCACTTAGAGGCTTTTGCATCTGAACTCTTCATGTAGTCTTTGTAAAAATATAAAGCAAAACAAAAACAAAAATTATGTCAACATTTAGTGGACTAGTCTTTCACACCCCTGTTATTTTTGGAAGAAGAGATTTAGACCTTAGCTTTCCCCCAGCCTATTGCAGCCACAAATGTCAGCACTAGCGTACAGAGTCCTCCTGCACCAGGAATCCCAGCCACATCGCTGCCAAACAAAGCAAACACGGCCAGCCCCAACACCAGGAAGGAACGCTTCAGCACGAGGTTTCCCTGTGTGGTAGGTAGAAGACACAAACAACCAACAACCATGAAAACTGTTACCCTAACAACATCAATTTTTGAATCTGAACATGTACTTCTCAATCATAAAGTTGTAGCTCACGTACCTGGTCTCTGCTGGGGAAGTATCGTAGAAAGTACCCTAAGGCCACACCAGTGACCGCCCCACCTAATACCTCCAGTGGTCCCCTCAGTATATTTACCCACACAGTGCCTGCAGAGGGCGAGAGAGAGAGAACACTACTGTAAGATGGGACCACTAACACCAAGAACATCCATAAAGCCTGGAGAAAGAACCTTACAAACATCTTTTTAATTGCATGTGTTAATATGCAAAATGTAATGATTAATTTACATACATTATTAAAAAGGTTGGGGTCCATTTTTAAAAGACATTATAAAGTTATAAAAGATATATCCTATATCAAACAAATGCTGTTCTTTTGAATTTTCTATTCATAAAAGAATGATTGAAAAATCACAATTTCCACAAAAATATTAGATTATTTAATTGTA